ACCGCTGCCACAGTCGCCAGCAGCCCTGTTCTGGACGTTGGCTTTGGACCCTGCATGATGGTCACCACACAGTTAAGGTTTCCATAGTTAGGTGGTGAATCAAGTCACTGTCTCGTTCAAAAACCACAGTGGCTGGCCGCTGCTTGTTGTGTGAAGTCCAACTCAACCTTAGATTAGCACTCAAGGCTGTGGATGGTTAGTCCCACTCTGCCTCCTCAATCTTTTTTTTTCTTTTCAGAGGTTTTTGCTATAGGGCGCGTGCGCACACCAGACAGAGACAGAAAGTGAGAAATCATCCCCTCCTCCCGGGGGGGGATGGCCACACCGCAATCCCTTCTCCTCCATTCTCCTCTCGGGATCTTGGGCACGCACACACATGCACCCAGCGTGAGTTTTAAGCCACCGGGTCCGAGACTAGAACCGCAGTCGACTACATGGGAGTCCAGCAACAGGGCCATTACGCTAACTGCTGGTCCCCTGCCTCCTCAATCTTACCATGATTTCTCAGTATACACCAACACAAGTACCAGCGCTGCCCAGGTGGTGTCCTGGCTTTGCTAGTACTGCTGTGTGGCCTTAGACAATCACTTAACTCTTCCATGCTTCAATTTCCTTATCTGAAAAATAAGACGATAATAGCGTGTGCCTCATGGAATGGACTTGAATGACGTGTGTTAATAGCTATACATGAAACTGGGTGGGGAAGCGTGCCCAACACATAGCTGGTGCTGCCCAGTGCTGCCTGCCTCTATTACCTTCCCCATCCTCACTCCATGGCTCTGGCTGGAGTGCTTTTCAGTCCGTTCTACCGTATTTCACATGGTATATCTGGCAGGGTATGAGGCCTTTCCCAGCCACCCTAGGTATCATTAGTTCTTAGACTTCCAGAATAACTTGGGGAACTTGGTGAAATGTAGAGTCCTGTACCCAGCTTCTAGAAGTCTGCCGTGGGGCCAAGGAACTTGTAGGTGATACGCATTTGTGTAGTGCAGGGTCACAGTTACAGAAATAGGCCCTGACTGGTCTTTCTGGAACCCACCAATGCTGTTCTTGTGGCGCTCTTCACAGGTGTTTGGAAGGCCACCCATGCCGTCTCTCCCAGGACAGAGGCTTGGTCTTATTTTTCTATTTTCCACAATGCTCATGCACACTAGCAAGGAATGCTTGTGAGCTATTAGTGACCTGCTAGGAAGACGTGCTCACCATCGTCTGCCTGCTCGTCCTTTCTGCTTCCCATGTCACTAGTGTGAATGTGAATGTTTCACACGCTTGTGTAGCTGCTGCCCCCGGGGCCCTGGGTCCCAGCCAGGGCAGTGTCTGGGCAACTGACCAAGCTCTCCAGGTGACTTAGATGATGCCCTGGATTATGAACAAGAGCACCAGTTCCAGATTCAAACCTGGGCTACACAAGGGCCTACTCATACCCTTGTCAGGAGGTGCACAGGTACAGTCCTGGAGCACTCGGCATGCGTGGAGGCAGGGGCTGGGTACAGTCAAACCTGCTTTGGAAGGAAGAGAAACTCCCTGGAGAGAGGGCAGGGGTCGTCCTTAGTGGAAAAGCTAAAGTACACTAGAGGACTGGGACGCCCCATTTATTTAATTTTTAAGTTTATTTTCTCTTAGGAGAGAGTAACAGTAGGAGAAAGACAGCACCCTTGACAGAGTCACACCACGGTGTCCTCCTGTCTTCCCGTTAGTCAGGATTTGGGGCACCACAAACCCAGTGCATTTCAGGTCAACCTGGGATCTGAACCTGCAGCCAGCCGTGTGACCCCGGTAATGCAGAACAGCTTGCTCCTGCCTGCGTCACTGTGATGGGGCCTAGAACTCCTTCATTTAAAAGACAAATCTTTTTCTTCAAAAGCCAAAGGCTGGGGACAGCAGGTGGCATGGTGTTTAAGGTGCTGGACTCCCACATGGCTGGCCTTGGTTTGAGTCTGAACCTGGTAGCTTGCTTTCTCACTTTTCCTCTCTCAGATGAGCACATGTGCCCTATAGCAAATCAGAAAAAAAAAATATATATATATTTTAAAAAGCTTCCCATTATTTTCTTTAGATTTCTTGGCACACACCAGCTCTATGAAATAAGGTCTTGGTTGGATTCCTATCTACAGCTGGCTTAAAAAGGCCCTTTCTCGAACTCTGCAGGCAGCAATGAGCTACCTCAAACACAGTAGAAATGTCTCTTTTTTCTTTTTTTTAAGTTTCCTGAAAGTGTAAGAATAAAAGGGGAGTGAAAGCTTCTGCCTGTCAATAGGAAATCCACCCTTCTCCCCAACTCTGCCCGGAGCCTCACAGATCTCCTGATGCTAAAAACAAACACCACAACTGTTTGTCCTCCTTGCAAGAACTTAATTTTTCCTTTAATATAAATAAGGCAGCACGAAACACCAAGAGCCCCACTGCTTTCTGCGTCAGAAGCAGCTTCGGTGCATAAAAGACCCCAGTCTCCCCATCGAGTTGTGCTGTCTCTGTATAAACAAGAAGCAGAAGGTGTTTTCTCAGTGAGCTTTCTCCCAGAAGCAAAGGGCAAGCTGATGGGGACCCCGGGTTAGTCTTGGCTTCCAGAGGCTGGTTCCGGGTCGCGGGGTTGCTTCGACGTGCAGTGGAATAGGGATGAATGAGGGGAAGGCACAGGTGACAATAAATAAGGAAATTTGCCCCCACTCTTGAAATGAATCCTGACAGAATGGGGGGCACCGGGCTTCATTGGAGACACACTTGAGCAGGTTCATTCCCTGAAGCGCCTGGCTGGCGGCTCTGTGGCCGAGGAGGGGCAGACCCAGGCGTCCGCTCGATCTACCTCCAGTATGCACAGGAAGGCTGCCTATGGGCTTGCTGCCCTGGTCACAGCCAAGCCCTCCCACCGTGAATTAACCCTGGCCGGCCAAGGCCATTTTCTCCAGCTTTCCGAGGCTAGTGAGAGCGCTCCACACTCCTGGGGAGGGGAGGGAGCTCCTCTTCAGTTTGCGGCCAGCCTGGGCACCCAAGCAGTTGGTTGTGCTGTCAGGGAGCTGTGGTGGCTTAAACCCTGGAGGGAGCACACAGGTGCGGTGTCACTCCTCCTTGGCCCTCTGCAATGGTCACTGAGGTGAGGCCGAGTGAGGAAATCCCAAGGGTCAGTGAAGTCACAGGTGGAGGTGAAGCGGCTTCCTGTACATCCTGAACTGGACCTGGAGGCAGGGCCCAGTTCTAGCTGTGGGGTCCAGTGCCCGCCAGTGACTACAGACCCCAGCAGTGTTGAGGGGGCCTTTCTGAGGCTTGGGGGCTGTTTCCCGCAGTGCAGTCCTGGAGGTTCCCCAGCCCAGTCTTTGCTGAGTCTCATGTGGTCAGCAAGGGCCACTGGAAAGGGCAGGTTTTGTGCAACGAGAGAGCCCTGCTGGAGGGTGAGACTCAGGGGCCTTGGGGCCTACAGACCAGAGCTGGGTGTCCACAGCAGCTCTTGCATCCTCACACACACTGGCCAAGGATTGGGACCTTAGCTCAACTCAGCGCTATGGCAGCCTTCTCGCTCGGGTTCTGTGATTTTCTCTGAAGTGGGCCAGACTGCAAGCCATACCCTAGCACCCTGGGTATCAGGCTCTGTCCCCTGGCCCAGTTCACCCTGTGCCTCTTTCTCTAGATAAGCTTCTACTGTCAGCATCTGCACCCCCACCACGCTGACAGTCAGAGACCAGCTGTGGGGAGAGTAAAGACGGGCACACCCGGCATGGTGTATGGTGCCTGCAGAGCTGCAGGCACAAGCACACTGCAGAAGAGACGGCTGAAGCGGGTGCCCCTGAGTGAGAGGTGTCGCTGAAAAGTGGCCAACCTCAGGAAAGGGGTGGGGTGGAAAAGAGAAAAAGCAGCCAACTTTAAATTTCTCTCCGCCACTAAGTACCTGTTTCCTGTGTAATGGAGACCGTAACCACTTGGGGGTTTGACTCACCACCAGGTATTTTTTTCAAATAGCATAAAAAAATGTGGCAGGCACAGGGGGGCCCCTTTTTTGGTACAGAATGTGGAGCAAAGGCTGGTGATTTAACATAG